GGACTTCCCTGAGGCTTCCTTCATTATGCCATGGATCTTCCAGACTGAGCACCCACTTCCCAGATCTCCCAAAGTCTCTGAGCTTCAAGAGCTCATCCAAACACTGCAGCAAATGAAGGAGCACATCCATGCTGTCACCTATGCATCAGGAAGCTCTGCTTCTGATGTTCATGAAGCAAAGATAGAAGCCACCCTGACCAGCAGCCTCGCCATTTATTCCTTACTGCAGTCTCTCCAGGAACAGGCTCAGAAGGACATGGAACTCTTGGTGCTCTTGATTGTGACCAGCACAGGGTACCAGGTGGAAAGCAGCACTTTTCAGCACCTCCTTGGACACCCAGAAATTCAGTACATGGCCAAGGAAATGGAAGCGGCACATGCGGAGTACGTGAACCTGAAGGAGCAAGATGTCGACAGAGCTGAGGCCTTCCTCCTGCTGACGGGTCTGACTGTGACACCTGAAAGTCAAGAGCTGTCCCCTGAGCAGAAGAGGGAGCGTTTAGTTTTCATGGAAGATCACATGAAAGGCATGTGGTCCTCACGGATAAAGAATCTCCTCCAAAAGCACAGTGGAGACGAAGACTGGGAGAGGTTGGAACAGGACTTGGGCTCCTTGATCATTGGGTGCCTGGATGACAAATGGGATGAACAGAGGATGCAGAACATACTCAGAGACCTGGAAGACACTCTTCCAACACCTGAGATCTCCACTCAGTCCCAGTCCAAGTCAGAAAGCAGAGAATCCAAAGTAAATGAAGCCATGGCAAACCAGGAGTTCCTCCAGTTGCTCAAGCGCCTTGGACTGGAAAGTCACTATCCAAGGAAAATGGGGATGGGAGATTTCCGCACCATCTGCAAGACATCTCTGCAGGACAGCCAGCCCAGCCAGGACACAGAACTGCCATTTTACTTCTTGCAAAAGCTGTTAACTGTGGATTACCGGGTGAGGTACCTGACTTGCTGGGAAAGGAGCAACCCAGGCCTTGCACGTGCACCTCAAACCATACAGCAAGAGCACCAAGAGTCAGACTCCTTTGAAAAGTTTCTTGATAAGCTGATTGAAGCAGGCCCTGAACGTGCAAGCAGGGACAGCCATGTGCACCCCGTTCTCGAGTCTGAAAGATCGTATTGGTGACCTCTGGAATGCTTTGCTGAATGAAAACTTTGTTTTCAGCTTCAAGAATTCCCTGGAGATTGCTGTGTACAGGAAACTGGAAACTGCCTTTAGTCAGTGGACCTGGAGGTTGAGGAGTCACATCTTAGATGTACAGATGAGACTGGACAACAAAATTCGGAATGGGGACTTGCAGAGTGTCACCATAAAACAGCTTGAAGGGCTGGTGCGAGAGACAAGTGATGCCATTGAGAAAGAAGTGGAAAAGTATTTCAGGGAAGACAAAGACTGTGAGATACTGATCAAGTGGAAATCAAGCACAGAGCTGAAGCTGAAAGAACTGAAAAAGACTCTTCTTCATGAAACGAAAAAGAAATGTGAGAATTTTATTGAGCTACAGAAGGAGCACAAGAAACTGGTTGCAAGGAAGTTGGACTATGAAGATGAGCTCCTGAGAAGGAGTCAGGAGCTGGCTGTGAGTCTGAAGGGGAAGAGCCTCACTGAGAGAGAACTGGAGGACAACTTCACTCTTGTCTGGAATAAGTGGATTGCTGAAGTCTCCCGTGCTGCTCGTCCTCAGGAATGGGTGGATATCGATGCAGAAATCGAAGATGTCCTTGGAGAGCACTTTAAGGAGCCGGGTATCTGTGCTCGCATCAGGTCATATCCCAAAGACAAATTATTTTATTTGGATCCAGAGAAACACATCATGAAGAAAAGGTATTTAGGCTATTTCTCAGATTCCAGGAGCATTTCCAATGCTGACAAGTTTGCATCCTGAGATACCTGGCAGAACAGGAAAATTTTGAATATTTCAAGCAGTACCTTACATCTCCAAAACAATTTTTTGAGGCTTATATTGAGACACGAGTTAGGAATCACTGTTTAGATGGGAGTAGGAGGCTGGGGATGTTTTTAGATTCCTCCCTTAATCTTCTCTATCGAAGCATCCTCTCAGCTGTTTCTTCATCCACCCAAATTGTGAAAGACAGAAAAGACAGAGAAGACAAAATCTCTCTCTGGCTTAATGAATTTTGCAGGGAATTGTCAGAGGTGATCAACTTGCCCAGAAGTGACCTGAAGGGCATCGAGCACCAGGAGGTCACAGACATTGAGTTCCTGAGCAGGGCCATGACAGAAGCTCTGGATGACCTGAGGGACAGGCTCGTGAATAAATTGGCTGATGCTGACCTGAGCTCGTTTCCAAGGCAGCCTCACACCATCCTGGCAGAGCATTTTTCAGGGTGCTGGGAGCACTGTCCATTTTGTGGGGCTATCTGCACAAACACCATGTGGAATCATGATGGAGACCATCAGCTGGTCTTCCATCGCCCACAAGCTTTGAAGGGATGGAGGTGGTATGGGACAGACCAGCTGGTCACTGATATTTGTTCCAGCAACGTTGCAAGTGATGGCTCATTCAGAGTTAATGACAATGAAGAGATCCCCTACAAGAGATACCGGGATGCTGGACCTCCTTATTCCACTTGGAACATTCTTCCTGATTCAACCATGCAGGCGTGCTGGAAATGGTTTGTGTCTCATTTCAGGACACAGCTGGAAGCTCTGTACAATGGGAAATTTCAGGGTAGAGGAGAAATCCCTGAGGCATGGCAGAGAATTACCAAGCAGGAAGCACTGTCTGAGCTGGAGAAGCGTTAAGTCACATCCATGGGAAGGAAGAACCTCAACAGCTTTGCAGTTTAGGAGAACTTTGTACCAGGCTCTCAACAAAATGCAGTTACAATGATGGCACTTTCAAACCATGTTCAGATAATGGTATCTAATTTTTCCCAAATTTGGTGAAATAAGGCGCATTACTGTGGTCTTCGCTCTGCAATTCCCTCACTTCATGAGAAAGCCAGAATCCGCTTGCCTATTTGCTATAAACATTTCCCTTGGCATTGTCCTAGAGCCAAACCAAACTCCCTCCTTGGGGCAATTGGCCCGATGACCAAGCCTCAGCCCAAGGGCCAGGGATGGGGCAAAGGCAGCATTCAAAGCATTCCTTGGATCAGCTGCTGTGAGACAAGAAGGGACAATGCCCCAAAGGCAGTTTTCCTGCAGCAAGGAGCTGTCCTGCTCAGAGAAAGGGCTGCAGAACCTGAGGCCAGCTCCATACCGGCTGCAAGCTGTGCTGCTTGGTTTTTGGGCATCATCCTTCCCTCCCTCATTGCAGCCTCCTGGATCAACTGAGGCCGTTCTCCCAGCAGGAGCTGCTGTGCCTCTGCTCTCAGGAAAGCAGTGACACGACTGCCCCAGGGCTCAGGCAGTGCTTTCACTCCCTGTCTCAGGGGTGCTGTGTCTCTGTCCAGGGCAGCCGCTCCTGCTCAGGTGCCTGGGGCTGCTGCCCTTCCCTGCAGCCCTCAGCCCCAGCAGGCTGAGCCAAAGCCCTTGGCCTGGCTGCTGAGCAAAAGCCTTTGGAATGCCCCACGTGGAGAATGCTGTCTGCCAGCACCCTCTGCAGCAGCCCTCGGGGCAGTGCTGGTGCTGCCCAGGCAGGCTGGTGGCACCGGGGCCGTGCTCTGGAGAAGGTGGCACCAGCTGGCTCTGCCCCAGCAGCTGTGGGGGCTTTGGCTGTGCAGGGGCTGCAACCCTGCTGGCAATGGGAGGGCCGAGCTCTCCTGGAGAGCTGCTGAAGGGCTGCTTCAGCCTCATCCCCTGCAGGCTCTGTGTGAAAAATGCATATTATACGACTGGCTCTTTGCAAATGTTAAAGTGAATACTACAGGTGTTATGTTGGAAAG